TTTATATATAAATAAATGTATTTATATAAATATATAATATTTATTTCAATTGACATAATATATATAATATTATACATAATTGAAATAAATATATTTATATTAATATAATATATATATATATAATATACATAATTGAATATACATATTAAAATACATAATTGAAATATACATATTAAAATATATAATTAAAATATATTAAAATATAATTGAAATATACATATAAAATACATAATTAAAATATACAAATTGAAATATACTTATTAAAATATACAAATTAAATATGCATAATTGAAATATATTTGGAGTTGTTTTTGATATATTGTTTGGATTGGTGTTTTTGAAGTTGTTTTTGAAATACACATTTACTGTAGCATTTGAAATGTGAAAAATAGTTTTTCAAAAACACCAATCCAAACGTACCCTATATCTTTTTATTCTTGAAAGTATAAATACGAACTTATTTCTTCTCGCCTCAAGATCTTCTTAATCTTTTTTGATTGCTTATTCGCAGTTCTTCTATATTTTCCTCAAATTCTCACAATGAAAAGTCGTTACACGGACAAAATTGAACAATGAGTTATGCTTGAACAAATAGACATGGGGTTCTTAGACATCAATTGCATTGCCAATAAGATGATATAAATAAAAGTTTGTTGTGTTTTACATTGTAAAGGGTGATGGTGGGGCGGTTTAGAGTGGAAAAGTAATGGCCCAAAGGCAATCCATTGAGGTTTAGGCAAAGGAATTAAGGCATTTTTGATAAATAATTCTTAAATGAGAGGGAAGAACAAAGAGATTTAAGGCTTGGAGCAGATAGAGGATTAGGGAGAATTGCTGAGGAGAGAGTTTGGAAGAGAGAAAACGAACTACAACAAGATTGAGAGGGGTTACCAATAGTGGCGAGTGCTTTTATTCCAAATTTTGCTTCTTTTCTTTTGCTAATTTTTGGAGATTTTGGCAAAAATAGTCTTTTTCTAGATTTCCACCTTTTTATTCCCTTATTTGGATCTCTTGTTAGTTTTGTGATGATTGTGGACGATTTTCCTCAGTATATTATTTATGCTTCTAAACTTTTTTTATTTTAATATTGTGATCTTTAACAGGAAAAATTGAGCTTTTCGTACAAAGGGTACTTCTATAATTTCATTGGTTCCGTTTGTTGGCAGGCGTTGTTAGTGATAGGGGGCTGACAGTCATATAACTAAACCACAAGGCTTGATTTGTATTATGGACAAATCTCAAGGAAGGCAGATATAATTAACCCAGAAAAACTAGGTCAAATAGTTGTCAATGTCATTTGAACCAATTAATTGACTTCACAAAACCAGGAAAAGCGAAGAAGAAAATTGCTCACATCAAAATGCATGATGCCATTAAGATCAAATTACATTTTTCAAAGCAAAACGACTTACATTAGAATTCTTAGACTATGAGGTTAATACTACTATATGCTGAGTAGTATTAAAATGACTAGCGTTCACTTTCATGTGTGACTATCTTTTTGAATAAAGTTCCAAAATTACCTAAGACCTCGGCAATTGCATTAAAGGCTCTTGATAATGCACAGGATGTACTATAAAATTCCTTCTAGATTTGACGAGGATAAACTTAAGAGAACCTTTACCTCCATTCTAGCAATTCCATATATTGGATCACTATGTAATAAATAACTCATGAATCAGTAGTAGTGAGAGGTGTTGAAATACAAGTGATAAGTGGGAGGTCTCAAACTTGAGAGGCATTTGGTTCGAGATCTCCTATTTCTACTTACATTTTGACACGTTTTATGTATATTCTTTTTTCTTGATACCACCAACTCATCCTTTCTCCCTTCAAAATTATTATATTGGAAGGTGAGTTTTTTGGATGTTTGTCTAAAACTTTATTGTAGATTACTGTAAAAGTTTTTTAAAAATTTTTTTGAAATGTGTTTTTTTATAAAATATTTTGAAGTGTATAGTTTAAAAATTTTGAAAATTTTTTTGAAATTACTATAGTTAAAGTTTTTTAAAAACTTGTAGCACACAAACTTGGCAAAAAACTTGGCTTCCAAACAATATGCTATTGTTATCTTAGAGAAGCGAAATGATATGATTGAAAATTTTAGAAACTTCTTACCAAAAAAAAAAAAAAAAAAATTTTAGAAACTGATACGAAACCAAAAGGTTTGATGGTGTAAAACGCAAATTTCTGATATTTGGTTTCTAGAAGCGCCTGATCTGCGCCTCGATATATACCCGACTTCACTATCAAGCGCCCACTTTCCTGCCCCACTTTCCTGTTCACCTGAATAAACTTTCACTTTGTAAAATGCTCTTACAATGTGAGAGCTAAGGGGACTTCCGAAGGCCCATTTCGATTTTTCTGTCAATTTTGCCTTCCCTTTTTTAAAATTGAAACCTAGCTCTCATTCGTCCTCAAAAATCCCCAATTTTATTTCGTGAATCAAAGTTGAGCCGCCTACATACTTTCAAAATAGCGCAAAATTTTTATCAACCCAAAACCCAGAAGAATCCATCCCTTCTGAACCATACAAAGTTCGAAACTTTAAGGTCAGATCTATTTCTTGTTGCATGTTTTTCAATTCCAGCCCTTAGTTTAACTTGATTTCTGTATTTTTGTGAGGTTCTATTTTCCGGGTTCTGTTCGATTTTGTTGATAAGGGCTTGTTTGGATTTGTTATTTTGTTGGTGTTTGCAGATTTAGGGTCTTGGGTTTGTTGTACTGGGTTTTGTGGGTTTTGGCAATTTCCTACAAATTTGATGAGAAAATGACCGTGTTGCCCAGCCATGATTCAATTCATATAAGGGAAGTTTGGAATGACAACCTTGAGGATGAGTTTGCACTGATCAGGGAAATTGTTGATGATTACCCTTATATAGCTATGGATACTGAGTTTCCTGGCGTTGTTCTTCGTCCTTTAGGGGATTATAAGAACTTCACTGATTTTCATTTTAAAACCTTGAAGGCTAATGTGGACCTTCTCAAGTTGATTCAGTTGGGCCTCACGTTTTCTGATGAGAAAGGAAATCTTCCCACCTGTGGAACTGGTAAGTACTGCGTCTGGCAATTCAATTTCCGGGAGTTTAATCCCAATGAGGATGTCTATGCTCATGACTCCATCGAGCTTCTGAGGCGAAGTGGATTTGACTTCAAGAAGAATGTTGATAACGGTGTTGATGCTTATCGGTTCAGTGAGCTCCTGATGTCGTCTGGGATTGTGTTGAATGATAGTGTCAGCTGGGTTGCCTTTCACAGTGGATATGATTTTGGGTACTTGCTGAAGATCCTGACGTGCCAGAACCTGCCTGAAACTCAGGAGGGTTTTTTCAAATTGATCAAGATGTATTTTCCAACTGTTTATGATATCAAGCATATGATGAGGTTCTGCAATCACCTCCATGGTGGATTAAACAAGCTTGCTGAGCTGTTGGAAGTGGAAAGAGTTGGTATCTGCCATCAGGCTGGTTCAGATAGTTTGCTTACTTGTTGTACATTTATGAAGTTGAAAGAGAGTTTCTTTCATGGGACAACTGAGAAGTATGCAGGTGTATTGTATGGTCTTGGTGTTGACAATGGACCTAATAGTACTTGAAAGAAAAGAATATCAACTCATAAATAACTAAATAAAAAGCTATTTTCTCGTGAATGGATGCCTACTCCTTTTGCTGTCCTCTGTGTGTTCTTGTTTCATTATTCTTAGAAGACCAGTGTTCATCTTCATTGATAGTCATTTTTTCTTTCTAATTTTGGTGTTCTTGGACACAGTTGACTTGAATAGGAATCCTTTCAAGTATTTTCCTTCGTAAAGCATGCCTCTGCATTCTTATGGTACTCCATTTGTCATTAGAAAAAGCCCAGGGAAAAAAAATGCAAAAACTAAAAGCATGTGTGTTTTTTACCTGTAACGATATGAATACGGCAAGTTAAGCAGTGACAGAGATTATGTGAGCAGAAGGCCTAACTAGTTGCTCTTGTGTCTTAATTGTGCCTGATTGGCCTCTCATGTAGTCAGCAAAACCTGATGAAAAATACTAAACATGAATATGTTTCCCGAAGTATGTAATTGTCATTCTAGTCTGCCCACTACTGTCTAGGTTCTACGCTAGTGATCCTTATTAGAGTTTAGAATTTGATATGGGTATTGCAAAATTTTCGTCCTTTTGAGCTTGGTTACTTCGTTAGGATCAGGTCATGGCTAGGGTTTCATTAATTTATGAAGATTCTGTAGATTATTTAAGAGATTTGGCGTGGTGGTGGATGCTACTATTCTTGTTCATTATTATCACCTGCAGCCAAGCGAAAGCTCTCTCTTTTACCAGATTTGCTGGAGCTCAAAAGAAGCTGATTTAGAAAAAAGATATTTTCTTCCATCTCATTGGCCTTACAAGGATCAGCCGTCATTATGTCTTTGTACTCTGAAGAATTTTCTTATATTATGTTCTTTTGGATAATCTTGCCATGTCATCATAATTTGATTTGTGAAAGATGGTAAACTATCTATAAACCTGATGGCAAGTGAAATTCGCCAAGCTGGTTTCTTTTTTTGGTCATTTAATTTTTCTGCCTATTAAGTTATGGATATAGAATTACTGCCGTCCCTCTCCCTCCCTCCATCTGTCTCACTCTCTTTAATGTACTTCTTCTTGTGATGTTGTTAATGCTAGTTACCGTATTTGTCAACTAGAAAATTTGAGAGCTTGCTTTCTTCCAGATGTTAATAATGGAGGAAGGTAAGAAGCTAACATCATAATGTGCAACAGATGGCATTAGGGCTTTATTTTGTTCAGAGAGATATCGATTGAAAACAAGATAAGCAACTAGAAATAAAGATGTATCGAAATAATTGCAATTGCCTTTAAACAGGTTCTGAGCCCATCTTGTTCTTTATGCTTAGAGTCACCTATGATTAATACAGGTGGAATTTATATTTTCTGAGATCTAAAATCAGAAATCTCTCAATCTTACGGGCTATGTAGTTCTCTTGTTAGCATGGGGCAATTGTGCATTGTCCTTTGCTGAAAGTATAAAAAACGTAGGATATGACACATTTCCATGGAGGCTGAAGAGAAGAGAGACAAGGTAAAATGTGGAGGGCTTACATAGGCCCACAATAGTTGCAATCCACAAGTGTCTATGACATCTGAAAGTCGTGGGAGTGTCATGGTAGAAGTTCTTGCTTTTGCACAGGTTTGTTTAGATGTTGTCAAGTACTGATAGCACTGTAGGTTTCTTCTCATAACCTAATTTTTCTGGATTTGCCAATTTGACCAGGCATATAAAGTTTCTCTGAACAAGATTACCGGTCTCACCTGTCACTCTGATCAGGTTAAGAGTCATTTACAAGATGGCTGACTCTTTGTTCTGAGGTGTGGATCAATGAATATGATGTTTGCAACTTTTGGTATTTTCTGTTTTTGAGGTTCATTAAGCATCATCTTTTCGTAGAATAGTATTCATTTAAGTGCCAGTTTTAGGTCAATTCATTAAGTTTGCCTAATGAGACATGGGGAAGCACGGGGGAGGCCAAGAATGGCAGGAAAAAAAATCCGCTTTTTGGTTTTGGTAATACAGGCGCAAATAAATGTGCCATTGTGCTTAATTTGAGATTGTTTTTGCTACTTCTATGCTCTATTTTTTTTGCTTCTGGATAAATTTTTTTCTTACACACACGTTGGGAACATGCTGAGAGATCTTTCTGACTTTGTAGCTTCCAAGTTACCATTTCCTTGAACAATAAATCAGGTTTTCAGTTCAAATATTATAAAAATTAGCTTTTAATAATCATTTGGTTTTCTAGACATTAGGTTATCACACTTTCTTTTCTCTTTGGGTTTGTCTTTCCATGCAGCTTTGTAGTTCCAAGTTTTCCCAACTTCTGGTGGATGTTTGCATCTCTTGCTGGTTGACAACGAGCTTGAGGAATCCACTAAAAGGTCCGAGGAGTATCTGTCTTGGTTTGATCAGATATACTTGACAAGCCAGAGTTTGGAATGTTTTTCTGGATCTTCATTTTTTATGTTGACAAGAGAGCAATCATTTGTCATTCTTGGTTAAACTTCAATTTGCATATTGGTGAGTGGTGGAATTTCAGGGGAGGCATATCTAGTTGTGCTTGTGACCTAAAGATGTGAAATATTTATTGCTTGTAATAACCCCTTATTAGCCAATCTTGGAGCCAGCAAAATTTAAAGAAAAATGATAGACATGGTTTTTCTGCAGAGATTGCAGTGCTAGCATTGTAAGATACTTAACAAGTTATGCAGAAGCGTCTAACCTGTGCTGAAAACAGATCCCATGGTACTTAAGATGATGCTGTTGCATGGACTTCTCATGCTATTTTGACCTCTAGTATTCTGATTTTACCTTTTTCCTGTGTTTTCAGAATCTTACAAGTTATCCTTTTTCTATTCCAAGCTTTGATACTTGGTTAAGCATGAAGTTAGTCTAAGGTTTCATTACTTCATGATTTTTATTTTTTTCCAGTGTGGAGTTGGGGTGGTATTTCAATTTGCTGCATCAAGGGGATAACTTTTCTCCACCAGTATTCCTTGATCTTTTGTCCATAATTTATCATCCTTTATTCTTCCCCCAAGCACCACTTGGCAGCCTCAGCTGCACTGTGGAGCTCAAAATATAGTGGACCTGTTTTAAGATGTGTTTTCTTCCATTTCATTGACAATATGAGGACCAGTCATACTTGAATTTTATATGAAGAATTTCAAAAAATTTCTTCCTTTTATGCTGTTTGTGTTGACATTTCGCTTCATAACAATTTGATTTTGGAGTGATAGTAAATGCTTTGACAAGAGATGGTGCCTAGGTTTAGCATAAACCAGGTTGCAAGCAAAACTTGCAAAGCTGACTTCTGTCTTTATTCATTTAACTTTATTTTCGAATTAATTATGGACAAATCATTTCCTGCCTCCACCTGATGGTGCCCTCTTGATTTTCTTTTGAGTTCATTAAAATACTAATTTCCATACTTGTTAGTGAGAAGAAGTTTAAGAGCCTGCTTTCTTTCAGAGGTAGATATTGGTGAGGGAGAATAACAAAGAAGTTGACTTTGTGAGAGTAATCAAGAGATGTTTGCATTCATGCCCATCTTCACCACCATCCCATTCCTGGCTTGATACCATGTGTTAAACATGTTTTGGATGACATTCTGAACTGCTGATTGGAGCTTGTGTTTAGGATGGTTTAAGCGTCCTTACCTCCTTTTTTATCCTCTCTTCATCTAATACTTCCTGCATGCTCATCATGCTTGTTGGTCAGTAGTACATCAGAACTTTCCTTTATATAGCAATGGTTTGTTTTGCTTCATAAGACATCATGTGCAGGAACTCTCTCATTTTATAAACACCCATAAAATGTCTTTTGGACACTATTTAGGGTTCTTGTACCAATTGTTTTCTTTTCTGGCATCATGTATTGTTCGCTTCCAAACCTCATAGAGCACCTTATTGATCTGGATGATATGCATCGTGTCAGAGAATATGCAAGCCTAGATAAAGTAGGTGTAGAATACCTTGATAGAGCAGAAGCTTTAACTTAGATCGTTGGATTTTATTACATTTTCTTTTCTCAACTAGGAAGAAGTTTATTCAGCCAGAATGAAGTTTGTCAATGTGCTAGGTGCATGATTTTATCTGTATCCTGTATCAAGGTACCAAGACCTTACCCATGAAAAACGTATCAAGTGCTTTACTTTATTACTGAAGGGGATTAAAGTTTTGATTTTCTACGACAGTTGAACTCACATTTAGCTATGATGAACTGACCTGATGGGCCTTGATGTTCACAGAACCATCTTTCCCTGTATGAATATGAAGCAAGCGCAAGTATGATGACACATGGAAGATTGTGCAGTCTCTATTATGAATTATTACTACATTCCTGGCTTGCCAAGAGTGACATGTCCCAGGTGTTTAGCATTTGTTGTTCACGAACTCATTTGACGTGTTAAGAGTGAGACAAACCCTGAGCAGACACAAATTTTCAATGAAATTTATTGAAATATGTCTATATGATTGTGCTTGAATACGTGTAATCTACAAGTATGAAACAACAAACTTTTGAAAATTCATTTACTTTGAATGTTTGTTACAGATTTGCAGCCTTGCAGGTAGTTAGAATTGCTGATTCATCCCAGTTAAGGGCAAGAATATTGGTTTGCTACCCATACATATCAACTCCAGATGCATATTTTCGGGAATTTGGCATTCCAGAAGCTTCTCTGAACTTCCTGCAGCTCCGGACAGAGAGAGGAAGAGGGGTTCCTGCTTGGTGCTTGCTGAATGTCCTGCGAATTTCATCTGCACGGATTGCTTATGCATTGCTTAGTGGATTTTTGGTTTCAAATAGCATGTCTTTTACCCGTTAAGTAGCCCTTTTTTAACCCATTGTTCTGGATTGCATAAATGTCAAATTTCGCCTGAAATGCTCACATATTCTTCTATGAGATTACGTGCATCACTAGTGTGTCACCTTCCTTCGACACTTGAAGCTGGAGTTTGACGTTTCATTTCGTTCAAACCGTGGAATAGTTGCTGCGATTAAACTTGTGTCTGTAAGAAAATAAAGAAGGAAACATCATTTTTTGTCTTTGTGATCTTTGATTTCTGCATTTTCTAATCCATGTTATAGAATTGACTGTTGATGATACCAAACATTTTGTTAAAAGAAAGCCAAAGTATTCAATTCTCATACATTTAACTCATCCTGGTTAAAATGTAACTTCCTATGTTGATGTCCATAAATTTCCTCAAAAGAGCTTGCGAATTGCAAAAGTCTCCACCAATCATCTTAAAATGGCACTCTAAACCGGCTCCTATGATACTTTTGACAGGTACAGATATACTGCCAGGAAGGGCAGTAGGTATGCATCATGGACCATGAAAATGCTAATTTCAGTAATCAATTGACAGCTTTCACGAACTGCAAACTTCTTGGACTATGAAAATGCCAGTTTCTAATAATGAAATGACACTTTCACGATCTGCAACTTCTTATTGATTAATGAACATTGAAAAGTAAGTATCAGCCCAATCTTGCCTCTCTTCGTAGTACCTGGAAAAGATGTAACACTCAACCATAAGTGGCAGAAAGTACTCCAGGAGTCGCAAGAAAAATTTCCAAATCACCTTAGCATCTAACTACAGCTCATCCATCATTTAATATGTGCTCAAAACCCACAAAATGAACAGGTCAAACAAGCTAGCCACTTAATAATATGGGGAATATTTACGAAAAACTGCTTGAAAGTTTATCTAGTCTAGGTGGCAGACAACAAAGAAAGGAAGAAAACATGCTGTAGCCTTAGAATTAACTGAGTTTTCATCAAAATTGAGACCAATGCCATTCAAACGTCAATAGATTAAAACTTCTCAAGAACATTAATAAATATTGCTCACTATAACCTAATATTTCAGGCTAGAGACTATCAAGCTGGGAAAAGAAAAGCTGGATTGGCTAAATAATAACTTAAACAATTAAAGTGAGTCGTTTCAAGCCAGTTAAGACAAGGTGAGATCTGGAATCTGTACAGTATTAATGAACCCTAAAGCCGGAAGAGGTGATTCATCATTTCACTATTTTAGTGAAAGAATTAACCAAAAACAATTATGAATAAACCTGTAAAAAACCAGCATCCTGAATAATTCACTTTATTCCTCCAAAAAAAGAAGCAAAAAATTCTCGTTTTTGAATAAGTTACAGGTTACTATGTCTTTAATTCTCAGACTTGCTATGTGGAAAGCACAAAATTCAATATTAAAAGACAACTACCAACAACTGCAATATCTAAGATAGCATGCCCCTTTTGAGGCCAATCTGCCCTGTAAAAAGAATTGATCAAAAAGCAGACTCAACAAGAGTTGGAGTATGCACCAATTATAAAACCTGCAACTTTTGTATTCTTAAACCCCAAGCACTTTCTAAAAGAGAACTAAAGGAACATGGGAGCCATGCTTAAAGAATGTAGTGTCAAACATTTTGTACCTCCTCAGCAAATTTTATCAAGATGGTTGTTCGAGGTCGCTGCTGTCCTTCAACAGGAACAAAATGAGCTGTTACCACAGCAGGGAAACCTGCATTATCCAAAACTCCCTTCAAAAGAAAAAGCACATCAACTAGAGGCCAACTCCAAAATTATCAATAGGTATTTGTACCAAAAAGATAAAAATGTAAGACATACCCTTACAATTCCAGCAACAAAAGCTCCGCAATTAAAAGTACCCATATCTTTGGGAATTGATATAAATCTAGAATCAAATGAATGCATGTTAGCAGACCATTAAGAGGACAGCTAATACAAATCAGATACAAGCATGCAACAAAGGGAGAAAGATAACCTGTTGACCAAAAGTTCCTTCTCGCTAATCATGTATTCATCTTCATGTTCAGTACCTTTCTCAAGAGAGTCAGCTACCTGAAATTTACATGGATAAGAGGATAAAAGATGCATTCATGTCCCTTTCTAAAACAACTACGTCTTCAGAAAATTCTCACCAATACAGACAGTATTGGTGTCTGAATAATAATAATAATAATATGCACATGAAAAGCTTAATATAAAGGTGTCTGATATTACAAGTTGATTATGTGGAGGACCAAGGACAGATATGATGAAAATGCTCCTTCTGGACAGTAGAAGTCCCTTACATACATTATGATCTAAGGCACAAATTTGTGTGCACCCAGCACTTTGAAGCCACCAGTAGCAAATTCTTGTCAGTTCTTTTATTACACAACCTACTAAAAATAACTCTTCAGATTGTCAACCCTGACACAAACTCCATCGTTATTTAAGCTTCGGAAGCAACGTGCTTTCTAAACTGGAGTTCATGCTTTTAAAAGAAGAAGTTAGCAGAGAACTAAAGAAACATTAACTTCAACCACATAGAAAAGAAGATCGGTTAGCAGTGATAGAAGCATGCTAAAATTTTCCAATCTGTATTGATACAGTTTTTGTGCTATGTAGACCATCATTTACAGATGTGAGAATCTAAAAAGAAGATAAAATTATCACCTCAGATGGCTATCTTCAGCAGTAAAGTCAAATTGGTGGCTTTACCAGTTAGAAAAGTAACACTAAAATTTTGAGATGTAAATAAGCAATTTTTCCGCTAAATGCTTAATTCAGGGTAGCATGTCTTTTTTAAAGCTTGTGCCAAAGTTCTGGATTTGATTCTTCTTTCCAGTAGTAACGCTCCACAGCTGTACTTAAATTAAACAAAAGTGAATGGGTGAAGCATCTTCATAAAATGCAGATATGCTATTTTCCAGGTTTACTTTTATGTGCACAAGTAACAAGCTGCAGAATAGTTGAAGCATAAACGCTACAATAAGATTATGCAATTTATTATTAAAGTCGGAAGAAACTTTGTTCCCATGTTGTTGCATTCATATTGAAGCAATTTGGTCTCTGCAGATCCCATCTCCAAGGGATCACCATTCAACATAAAAAGTGGCCAAAGGTTGTCATTTTACAAATACAGAATATAAGCAACCTTACAGTCAATATGGTTTTTCATTGACTTGCAAACTCATAGTTTTGCAATCTTCTACATTTCATTGCGTATGTTTAAACAAATATTTGGGGATTAGCAACATATTGAAATTTGAAAACACTCAGTGTATCTGGATTATTCATTTGAATATGCTTCTTTGCGGATTGTCCTGATCTGACAATTGAATACGCTCTAGCAAAATATTGGGCAGAAAAACATATCAAGGGCATGCAACAAAGGCATTGAGGGGACTATATAAAATTATACTACAAGAATTTCAGTTTCTCAGTGCTCTATCTAATTTCTGAAGCAGTTATCCTAGATTTTCATTCTCAGTATAGGTCAAATCTTAAAACAGCAAGCTGACATATACTGTGCCGTATGAATCCAAAACCAGCAACAGTCTTGATAGTTCGGAGCTGGAAAGTTAGGTTAATCCTTACTCAACATCATGAACTCAGAAAAAATCCCAAACTTAATTACCTGAGAAAATAGTCAATATAGGATTAAGAAAATAATAGAATATTACTTTTGCAAACGACAAATGGATTTTGACATCCATGACAGTTGTCATAAGGAACAGGGAACAGGTCACAACAACATTCATATCACATAAATGGTTTTCATGACATAGAGGCTCTTAGTTTTCAGATTATAATCCTGCACCACCTAAGTTCACATTTCTAAAAGAGTGTGGTAAACTTGCAAAATGCCTTTCAAGTCAGATTAGTATTGAGAACACACCCATATTGGGATCATGTGATCATCAATCCTTTCAAAAATTAAAAATCAGGAGCAAGAAACTATGAAGGTATGTGGAGCCTATCTCACCATACCAGGCAAGGAAAGGTGGCAATACTGAAAAGAGGAAACGATTAGTTTGGCGAGTTAACAAAGACACGGGAAGATATACTTCCACTAAAGTTTTCAGGTCTTCAAAATAAACCAAGATAGATCTACCACAAAAAGAGTAAAAATTACTAAAGTTTCAAGAGACAAATTTATTTAAGCAATGCACCATATCTTGAGAGGCCGCAAGTCAATACCAACCTTTCCAAACAACACCTTCCATACTGTGCTGTGTACAAAAGATAAGATACCCAGGAGTCGTGTCTCTCTTCTGTTTCCCTAAAGCATCAAATAAATAGTAAAAACATAAGCCAGTCAACTTAGAGAAGAACAAAAGCCATAAACATAGATTTAGAGACCCCTCTGAGAAGTTCTTATATAACATTAATCACTTCACAAACAGTTACTCAGATGTCCCTTTAATAATTCAACCAATAATTGATCAATATGTTGCACCATCACCATTCACCAGATCTTGCAGTGACCAATATGTTGCATACATGAATCTTCGTGTGCGAAAAATTACTCAAGGTAATGCTTCAGTTAAAGACAAGAATAAATAAGCATACAAAGTTAGCTGATTTAATATTTTCTTTCAAACAGTAATAGCTTTGTTTAGGAGAATAGTTTTAAAACCTCAACACCAAAAAGAAATTACTTGGTTTCTCCCTTGATTTTTCAGTGTATGTCCTATAGCAAAGTAGCAGTGGAATTACTTAAAAAAAAAAAAAAAAAAAACTAAAAACATTATGAACACATGAACTTGCTGCAAATAAGAATCTAATCTGAATCAATTTATTGAACTTCAATCACTTCAGCCACAATAGGCAGATGTTAAATGGACAAAAATATCCAGCTCTTCAGCTTTGCAATTGATGCAGATGTTTTAGTTTCACTTCAAAGATTAGGATGATTTAACATGCATAAAACTTGCCATGGGCTACCATAGAGAGTAAGAATATTCGCATGAACTCTCTCGATTTTCCGCACCTTTTCTCTGTGGCAAAGAAGTTCCAAAACCCTTGCTCCAACAGCATATCCTGCATCTTCGAGCCTGCAAGCCCAAAACTAAGATATCATCAAATTAATACAACAGAATCCATGCATAAATCAAGCAGTCACACAACTTCAGTAACCCAAAGTAAACCATCAGAAACCCAAGGATTGTGAATCCAGTTCCAGATCAATCAGAACAACAAAAATAATCATTTTGTATGGGTGTGGCGAGAATGTTTGACAAAAGCAGATTAGTAAAGGACGATTCTTGCCATAAATTTTCAAAATGCACGCTAAACTAACTATTTATATTGCTGTTGCATATCCCCCCCCCCCTCTCACCCCTTTCTCCAATCCCCACAATTTAGCATGTTATTAGTCAGTTCAATTTTTTGTTTCCAAAACAGTACCAGATGATAATTACTTGCGCATAATTGCTTTGAACTGCACGGTGACTGATTTTCCATCCTGAGCACATCTCACAAGTTTGATTCAAGAAATTCCAGAACTATAAATTAACGCCAACCATTCTTCACAGCATATACATATTGACCTACATGAGTGGAAGATAGTATCACCTTCTTTCGAGTTCAGCAATGTTGTCAACTTGAGTCTGATTGTACTGAACCAGCTCTGAGAACAAGAATGCAAATGCACTCAAACTCACCTGACCAAAACAATTATCATTTTTTTAGAACAAAGAAGAGATTTCAATCAACAGCCAGCAGAAAGAACAAAACCCCAATAAGAAATACTAAACAACAAATACATTTCAATTGTGACCATGAAAAGAGTCAAAAACAAAAACCCATCCACATTGAGCCGCAAAACTACATGATTTGAGATGAAACCAAGCTAAGTACCTTATAATTTGCTCAACTACAGTTAATTAAAACCCTTTAATCCGTTAACCTGTTACCGGCTAGATCTGAATAGGGAGTGAAAGAAAACCTCTTGTTTGCCTTTACTGAGGGGCCTGTCGAGGACATTTGTGTACTGCTTCATCTTTCCAACTCCTATCATCCTGCGATCCTTCACCAATTTGTTGGGTTGCTTTTTTGATTGCTACTGTGTCTGCTTTCGCTCAAAGTACTTACCAGTCGTAGTTGAAAACTTAAAAGCGAAGATCAATTCGGGTTTTTGAATGATAAAAGCAAATTTTTGTGCTCCTAAGATTAATGGAAGTATACAAGGGTTTATTGTAGTTGAAACCCTTAAACTTTTGTGTGAGTTGCACTTTGCGCCCTCAACTTTTCACCAACGTTTTTTAACCCATTTTGTTATATGTTTCTGTTCTAATCCATTTCCTATTTTCTCCAAACTCTCTCATGTTACCATAATCTCAAAAGATCATAAATGCGAGCTTCTAATCCCTTTTTCTATTTTTTGCACCGTCTTTTATTATGAAATGTGATACATAGCTGTTTGATATGTTTATTTACTTTTGAATTTGGTAAACTGAAAAGGTAGATGAGAAAGAGGATTTGTGGCCAAACTAAAGTTTCATATTTCAAGAATCAAAACGCTTCTAATTCAATTTAATGTGAAACTTAAAAAGTATAAAGTCTTGCTGTATCATATAATAAATAGTTTCGAGATTCTTTTGGCCAAAAACCATATTGTAAGTATCAATTGTTTTACACAATAAGGAAATTGCACATCATCATGGAATTGTATATATTTTTCCATGAGCATGCATACATTGTCTGCCGTTATTATAAATTTTTACTTTTTTTACTCGTAGCATCTGGTAGAAAAGTTGTTAAAAAAATTCGTTTGATTAGGAGATTATTTAGAATAATCACCGTATTACTTTTTTGTGATGTAATATATATGAAATAAAGAGTGATTAACATATAAAAAAGTGATTGCAAAACGTATTTATGATACAAGTAAAATTATATTAAAAAATTAGTATTCAAACACACCCAATATTAACTTTTCTTCTCATTCATTTACTAAGTAAAATAATTGGTTTACTTAACATGCAATGATAAATTATTTTTAATGTTCCATTTACGAATAATTAGCTTTGCATTGATCAAACAATGAAGGAAAAAAGAAAAACTTTTAGACCATGAACTAATGTGTTTGGATGGCAAATTATTTGAAAAAACAAAATCAGAATAATACTAGCTATAATGAGTTTGTTTGGATAAGAGTTTATTTGGATGATTTATTTGAGATATTTACTGTAGCACTTTTTGTGATGTGATGTATGTGAGATAAAAAGGTGATTGAGAAGATAAAAAGGTAATTGGGATTTATGAGAATAAATTTTGCAAACCAAATTATCTTTGTCCAAACAAACTCAATGCTTTTAGTTTTTTTTTTTTTTCAATTGGGGGTGTTCCGGCCTACACCCGACTAGTCCCCAACCGCGTGGAGAGCATGTCCCACTGATCCTTAAGAAATTACGCCGGATTGCTGAGCTCAGGATCAAACCCAAGCCGTCTCACCTTAATGAGGGTTACACGATCACCCGAACAACCCGTCGAGGACGCTTTTAGCTATTTGATGTATCATTTTTTACCCTCCTTTTAAGTGCCTAATGAAGCTCTTTATGAGTTAATTACATGTAAATATTTTTCTAGTCCTATGCGCCGCAACTTGCAGCCATGAAACAAAGGGCTTGTTTGGAAGTGAAGTTTTTGATCAAGTTTTTTAGCTACTAGTTTTTTAACAACTTTTGCTACAGGAATCCCAAAAAACTTATCACAGTTTTTTACTTACACACTTCAAAATAATATACAAAAAACTTTCCCTTCAACTTTTCTTCTTTTTCCTCCCCCACCCAACCGCCCACCACCTCCACCACCGCTTCCGGTGCCAATAACTATTCCGGCCAACTTTTGCCGGCCTTCCTCTTTTTTTTTTTTTTTTCTCTCCCTCCCCTCCCCCTTTGACTGATATGTTGGTTTCCAAAATCTCTTTTTTCTTTTTTTTCTTTCTCCCTCCCCCCTCCCCTCTTTCCCTCTACCTTTCCCCGCCACCTTCCCCTTCCCGCAGCTTGGGGAGAAGGAAAATTGAAAAAAAAAAATTACACTCAACTGTTGCTGCTTATTCTGCTAGCAAGATAAGGAAAGGAGAGGGAGATGGAACATTGGAAAAAAAAAATCATTTATATTGCTGCAAAACTCATGTGCAAAACTCAAGTGGCGGCAGAGGGAGAGGGAGAGAGAGGGGTGGCGGGGGAGCTTTTGCATGGGTGGGGGAAGGGGGTTGCGGGCAGAGAGAGAGGAAGGGGGAGCTTTTGTAGGGGTGGAGGAAGGGGTGACGGGGCAGAGGGAAGGAAAAGGGGAAAGGGAGGAGAGGGGTGGCGGGAGGTGGCATTGGTGGAGTTGCTGCTGGGGTGGTGGAGGTAACGGGGAAGGGGGAGTGGGAAGGAAGAAGAAGAAGAAGAGAGGAAAGAAAAGAAAACAAAGAAAGAAAAAGAAAGAAAAAGAAAAAGAAAGAAAAGAAAAAAAGAAAGAAAAAAAGAAAAGGAAAAAATAAGTTTTTCACCCTACAAAAACTTCTACAAAATTTTTCACCTTACAAAAACTTCTACAAAATTTTTTCAAAAACTTCTACCGTGCACTACAATAAAGGGCCTGTTTGGAAGCGAGTTTTTTTGGCCAAGTTTTTTAGCTACAAGTTTTTTAACAACTTTAGCTACAGGAAGCCAAAAAAACTTATCAAATTTTTTAACCTACACACTTCAAAATATCTAATACACAAAAAACTTCTATCTTTCTTCTTTTTTCTCCCCCACCCCATCCACCATACCTTCATTGCCGGCCACCATCTCTGCCGCCGTTTCCGGCGCCGGCCACCTATTCCGGCATCGACGTTCCCAAAATTTTTTTTCCTTCCTTTCTCCCTCCCTCTCTCCTTCGCTCCCCTCTCCCCCTCCCCTCCCTGGCCAAACAGCCCAGAACTATGCAGCAGTAGCAGTTACTTTCCTACGCTATGGCTGACGGGAAAATGGGGGAACAAGGAAGGGGGTGGCGGGAAACGGGAAACGGGAAGGGAAACAAAGGAGGGGGAAACGGGAGGGGGGTGGCGGGGCAGAGAGGGTGGCATGCAGATGGGAGGGGAAGGGGCAGGGAGATGGCGGGGCAGCGGGGAAGGGGGAAGGGGCACAGGGGAAGGGGAAGAGGGCTGGCGGGAGGAGGGGGTGGCGGGGCAGAGGGATGGCATGCAGAGGGGAGGGGGAAGGGGCACAGGGGGTGGCGCGGCAGCAGGGGAAGGGAGTGGCGCGGCAGCGGGGGAAGGGCTAGCGAGGGAGGGGGTGGCGGGACATAGGGGAGGGGAAAGGGGCGGAGGGACTGGCAACGGGGAAGGGCTAGCGAGGGGAGGGGTGGCGGGACATAGGGGAGGGGAAAGGGGCGGAGGGACTGGCAACGGGGGAAGGGCTAGCGAGGGGAGGGGTGGCGGGACAGAGGGGAGGGGAAAGGGGCGGAGGGACTGGCAACGGGGGAAGGTAGCGAGGGGAGGGGTGGCGGGACAGAGGGGAGGGGAAAGGGGCGGAGGGACTGGCAACGGGGAAGGGCTAGCGAGGGGAGGGGGTAGCGGGGCAGAGGGCGTGGCGTGCAGAGAGGAAGGGGAAGGGGGCTGGCGGGGGAAATGCAGAGGAGAGGAGAAGGGGAAAGGGAGGAGAGGGGTGGCGGGAGGGAGAAGGAAGAAGAAGATGAAGAAAGAGAGGAAAGAAAAGAAAAAGGAAAAAAGAAAGAAAGAGAAAGAAAAAAGAAAGAAAGAAAAAAAAAGAAAAGGAAAAAAAAATTCATCCTACAAAAATTTTTACAAAATTTTTTATCTTACAAAAACTTCTGCAAAAAAATTATTCACCTTACAAAAATTTCTATAAAATTTTTTCAAAAACTTCTACAGTGCACTACAGTAAAATTTTTAGACAAACTACCAAAAAACTTAGGTTCTAAACAGGTCCGAAGTTTTAGACAAACTCCCAAAAAACTCAAGTTCCAAACAGTCCAGAAATTGGCTGTGATTTCTCCTATTAGGCATTATAATTGCAGTCTTAAGAAGTAGTAGTACAAGTTGCCTAAAAAAAAAAAGAAAAAAGTAGTAGCACTGGTACTTGCCAAGAGGCTCCGAACGAGCTTCAAAACCCTCCATTTCTCTTGATTGAGGCTCACACACTAGATACACTCAAAAAACACGCACTCGCGTTGTTCTCTTTCTTCATGGAAGACGATGATGAGTTCGGAGATCTCTATACTGATGACGTCTTAAAGCCTCTAACGACGTCGTTTCAATCTCAACCTCAGCAGCAGCAGCAGCAGCCACCTGCTCCGCCTCCTCCTCAGTTCCAGCTTGAAAATAAAGAATCATCCAAACCGACGGCGTATCAAGGCCGTCCGATCGATCTAAACGTCAATAGCGATAAGGATGATGATGACGACGATGATGATGAGGATAAATTTTTCCGAGCTGCGAATTCCAGTTCCACTGGAAAGATTCAAACCCTAGCCTCGTCGCAAACCGGATTCTATTCTCGTCCTGACCCGACGAATTTTGATTTGAATAAGATTTCCGGTCAAGTGGAGGGGAGCTCGGGGGGTTTAGCTGGGGCTGGATCGGATTCGCAAGCTAGGGTTTTGGGGACGAAGGAAGGAGATGCGAAATTGCCGGAAAGGGCTCGGGGAGTTCCGGCTTAGGTGACGACGCTGATATTGACGTCATGGTTGAAGAGAGGGACGAAAAAGACGACAATTTCGTTGTTAAAGGTGGAAATTTGACGGATAGAAGTGGAAATGTTGAGAATTTTGGCACGGGAGACCCGATGATTCCGGGGCTGTCGATTCCCGGAGTTTCTGGCAGAGTAGAAAGCCGTGCCAACGCTAATTATGATGATGATTGGGATAGTGATAGCGAGGATGACTTGCAAATCGTGTTGAATGATACTAATCATGGGCCGATGGGGATGGAGAGGATGGGAGGAGGAGGAGGAGGTATGGGGGATGAAGATGACGACGATGAGGATGACGAAGATGGGGAGCCATTGGTGATTGTTGCAGACAATGATGACCCGAGCCATCAGCCAATGATGATGGAAGAGCAAGATTGGGGAGGGGAGGAAGTGGGAGCTGGTGGCGATGGGGAGAAAAAGGAATTAGGTGAAGCTGCAAAAATAAATGGGGCAGGAGGTGGAGCTGTGGCGGCACAGAAGATTGGGTATAGCGGTCACGGGTATCATCATCCGTTCCATTCACAGTTCAAGGTCAGTGATGTTGCCGCACACCTGGGGTTTGGTGCTTTCACCCTCTTGTTTGATGAGAACTTGCAATGTACTAAACTGGCTAGTAATTGTTGTATAGAGTTCTGGAAATTGGTTACATTAGAATTCATCAATGCGGTTGTCGTATGTGTTAATGAGGTTGACTGTTGTACTGGTTTCAAATCTCCAGTAATAAAATTTAGTATGATTTGTGACCAATTTCATACTCCAGTGCTTTTACTCATTCTTAGCTTCTTACTTGTTCATTTGGCGGCTTTATATTTTACAGACGATGAACATACGTCCAATGTGGCAATAGCATGTAGCTTCTTGTTTCTGGCGCATAGGGAACTAGTTTTTTCAGTCCATCCTAATCTTTTTGTGCTTTCGAGGAGAGTTTCCGGTGACCATACACAACCTTATTCACCAAGCGTCTTCTAAAAGTTGTCAATCTGTATGTCTGTCCAAGTTTTGAGTAGCAGAATTCAATGAATAACCAATGTCAAGATTGAACTAAAATTGTCTGCTATCACTCATTCCTAAAATTTCTTCTGAAACTGCTCCTTGGGGTTAAGTGTTGAGAAGATAGCTGGCATTTTACAAGAACTGGTTATGAGTGAATTTCCTTGCTTGCCTGGGTGGCTTGCATTGAGCATCTAGACATGCTGCAACACAGAAGTTATACAACTTCATGCAACATGCCGCCAGCGACCCAGTTTTGTCCTTTTGAACCTTGAACTGATTATTGCTTGTGGAAACAAAGCAAATGGTGCATTTAGCAGTTTCCCTTGCACTGGTGCAAACACATTTTCCTACACGTTGCGACTCACTATTGGCTGGAAACCAGCTGTTATTGTTGTTTGATGAGAAATGTTGTAAAATATCTACATCAAGTATTTAGCTACCTTAAGTTTTAGAAAATCCCTTTTGGTAGTTATTATATTTCGTATCTTTTTTCAAAAATTTCTTGGTATGGAATTGATTTTAGTATGAGGATATCATTTTCACCTGAAGTAATTACACTGGTGGCCTTTTAAGTGTCGTTTAGATGTTAGTTAATAGATGCTTCTAACTAAAGCTATTCCACAGCTGTGACAAAATGATGTTGCTTTTAATTGATTTCTCTTTGTTATTAGTCATTTGTTAGCTTCTTGGTACTTTATGCTTTTCATTTTCAACTAATAATAATTTATCAAGATGCTAAAGCCCAGATTGCCATCTTCTATCATGACACAAACTGTTCCTTTTTTAGGGTCTCTAACCCTTCAATTTTTCCTTTCCTATCCTACTCATTAGCCTTATTAGTTGAAATACTGTTGATATTTTCGAATAATGCAAGATATCCGAACTACGTGAAATTTGTAATTTTTGTACTGTGAATGTTTAGCTAAAGGTTTTCGATATTTAGTTGATTTTTTTTTAGATCATTGAGCATGTGTTTGAAAGGCTTGCGTCATATTAAAGATTTGCTCTTATGTTGATTCTCCATTTGTTGATACTTTTTCTGTTCTTTTCTTTGGAAAACCGTGTAGTATGTGAGACCTGGTGCGTCACCAATGCCTGGAGCAGCTGCTATGGGTCCCGGGGGCACTTCAGGTCAAGTTCGTCCACCTGTGAGCATGGTTCCTGGTGCTGGACGTGGCAGAGGTGATTGGCGACGACGACTGGAGTAAAGGGTCCTCCAGAATGCAGAAAGGTTTTCATCCAGGCTATGGAATGCCTATTTGGGGAAGTGGGGCTTCAGGACGTGGATTGGAGTTTACACTTCCATCACATAAGTATGTTTATTTTGATGAGGATACTGGTAGTGCTATTCTATCACAAGCATTTTGCTCATTTTCTAAAAAAATTTAAACAAAAAATGTCCATGGGGTGAATGGATTTGAAGTTAAAACTGTTACATCCACCTGCTGAAAGCTGTTAAGGTTGGGGTTAAGACATTCTCATGTTCACCTGCCGAAACTGTTATTTGGCAGGCAAATGTTTTGATCTTCTCAAGTTAAAGACCTATTTTCTGCCTTAGTTGCTTTTCTGTAGAAGTGCCTTTTTGTAGCCTTTCATGGTGGAGATGTTTGCATGTTCTAATACAAACATCTTTTCCGATACATACAAAGTCCAAAACAAGTGGTTGGTGGAAATCTTAAGCTTTTGTTAATTGTCGATAAGTTTATGCATGTATTTGATTATCTCATGCACATTTGGGATGCGGATATTAAGGTAAAGTATGGAACTTTCACAATCCCTGGAGAGATTGTTCACTAATAGACTAGGGGATAAGTAATTCAACTTATTCACATCCAGATCATGAATGTTTGGAATCCATATTATGCAAGGAGACATTGCTTTTGCTAATTCAATTTGAAGAGTGATATAAAATTGGTCTATTTCTGGCATCATATCCATAGCGCATTCATCATGGTTAGCAGCTCCAGCTCCATATCAAGGCTATATTGTCTCTTTCATCAATATTGATTTATTTTGCTGTTTAGCTGATTTGAGAAAGACAATAGATACTTCTAATTTTAGATGAGCAAAATAACCAAGAATGCAAGTAGAAGGGACTTAATTCTTTTAGGAGAAGTGAAAAGCTGAAGGTCAACAGTAGTTTTGGGATTCTTACTCTTGGATCAGTTTAGACACTTGGGTACTGTCATGCTAGTCAAACTTGTCGAATCATTAAATCTTTCCCTTAGATTCTAGACAGGTGTCGAGTCGGAGTTGCCTCTTCCATCTTTGGCTTTTACTCATGATTGGTACAAACGTATAAAGGAAATGGTGAGGTTGTCTAATCATATGTGCTTCCTTGTCTGCCATGTACATTTTGGTCTTGGTCACTTCTGTAACTTGTCTGTCAAATTAAACTTTTTTACAGTAACTTTGTAATGTATATCTATAAAGGAAACAAGAAAGGGCAAAAATTGGGAAGAAGGGAGAGAGATACAGAAAGGCAGCAGAGGAAGTACATCTCTAGTTTGTATTTATGAACCAGTGATAGAATTTTTTTGTTTCTGTGAGGGCCATGTTGAATTATGTTTGAAGTGTTTTTAATCCTAGACCATCTATTACCACTGATAGTATGCCTGTGTTTGGATATTAAGATCAGTAATCATCTTTACTTGACCTGGAGAATATCCCATTGGAGAAGTTTGACATCTAGCATTAGACTCGTATGGGATTGAGAAAGATGAGGAGGGTTGTATATTACACTTCCTTAAACCTCAGAGAGCAAGAATGCAAATTCGACGAGGATACAGCTTGACATATGCAAGCTTGATCATTACACTGTAACAGAAGGTTATTAATTGAGGAAGATCACAAATTTCATAACATTGGACTGCCATAACATTGGACTGCAAGTGAAGCCTTATAGCATTTCACGTTGAAAATACTCATTATCCTGTAATGCGGTGAAAGGTTGACCCTTTGAGCTAGTATAAGTAAATAAGCACTGAAAACTCTTTTTTGTCCTTTTGAGAAAAACTTTGTGGAAATTCTTATTTGAGTTTGTAAGTATCCTTGTTAGAGATACTCCCACTTTAGGAAAAAATTTCTACCTCCTTGTAAAAGCTTGCTGCTTTAAACTTCATTGCCGGTCAGAGTTTCTGGGTTGTCTCGATGATAAATTGGTTTTGGTGTTTGTTAACATGTCTGTTTTGCTTTTTAAAAAGATACTGCCTTTGGTTGTGCATGGCGGCCAAGTAGTATTTCTAGACAAAGATTTTGCCATTTTCTATTTGTTTCTGTGCATGTAATGGTGAAGTTTTTTTTTAAATTAAAGTTTGTTATAATTGGCCTTTTAACCTTATGTTTTATTACCAGGACCATATTTGAAGTTGACATTGATGGTTTTGAGGAAAAACCATGGAGACATGCTGGTGTGGATATAACAGATTTTTTCAACTTTGGATTGAACGAGGAAAGTTGGAAAGATTATTGCAAACAGCTCGTAGGTTTCACCAACAGCTTTTTGCATGCCTTAAAAAGAATTTTACCTTGTGATTTATCCTTCTACTTTTATAATTTTGTGTGATTGTGTATCAATTCCTTGTTGGGTAAATCTGATCTGCACAAAGTGTAATAAAAAATTGTGTGCACATTTTAAAATAAAAATTAATGCTAATTTTCAGGAGCAACTCCGTCTTGAAACAACAATGCAAAGCAAAATTCGTGTTTATGAAAGTGGGAGAACAGAACAGGTACACAGTCTTTTAAAATTTGGATATGTAATATTCTGAATATTTGCATGAGATTTTTTGTGGTTTAGAAAGAAAATTGTATTTTATATCTGATTTGTTTTTCCTCTTGTATTATGTTCAGGAGTATGATCCAGATCTTCCACCTGAGCTTGCAGCAGCTGCTGGTATTCAAGATACTACATCTGAAAGCTTGAAAGTTGGGAAGCCAGATGCTGTTCAAAATGACTTAGGCAGAGTACTGCTCGTGTGCGACCACCCTTGGTATGTAGTTTTCTTAGACCTTTTGCTTTGCTACTCGTGAAACATTTTGACCATTTTATAAAATTCATGTTGTTATTTTACTTCTAGGCTAAATTTTTGGTGCTAGGATCACTTCTTTCTCTACCTCATCTGATTGTGGAATATTTTACAGATTAAATAACCAAGAAAAGAAAATGCACCTATAGAGTTCATTCTCTCTACTGAATTGATTTAATTATTTACTTTTTAATCTGCCACCAGCCAACTGGAAGAGCAATACAAGTGGAAACTGGTTATGGTGAACGTCTGCCGTCTATTGACACTAGAAAACCGCGGATTAGTGATTTAGATGTAATTATTGAGGTAAGTTTTCAGGTCTTCCTATTCTGTCTAACTCAACCTTCGTTTTTGTATCAATTGTAATGTAGTTTTCATGTATTGATGTTTCTTTTCTATTTTCTTCCTTAACAGATTGTGTGTCAAGACCCTGCTGATGATGATACCAACACTGGAAATGAGATGACAGAGCAAGCTGACAATGATCCTTCGAGGGAGGATCTTAGGGATGGTGATGAGTTTGAAGACCTTCCCAAAGAAGATACTGAAGATGTGGATCGTGTTCCACATGCTCACAGCAGTCGCAGGAGGGAAGTTGTGGGCGGAAGAGTGCCAATTTCGAAATCTGTTCACGATAACTTGGCTAAAGGAAATGGCGATTTGCCTCTCTCTTCGGAAGCACCGTCAGCATCCCATCCTGACTCAGAGAACAGACACCTGTTTGTCCTGGTAGAGATTTTGCTCATGAGGAGAGGTATGAAAAATTGCTGGAAATTCAGTGCATTTTTATTTTTATCTTGAACTCTTTTTATGGCATAAGCATGTGAAACCACTTAATTGGATTTGAAATTTTGATAAATTTTTCTCCTTATTATGCTGTATCACATTTTTAACTGTCAGTCTATATAGTAGAGCGATTCAATCCAGAGCTTTGCTTGTTACTTGGTTAGTAGGTCCTATCTGTATGCAGAAGGATGATGGCTTACTAGAGATTAATGATCATGAAATTCATAGAGGGACGAAGCTCACCTTGATGACAAGTCTGCTCCAGCATTTTTGTTAGTTAAATTTGCTTGCTGCAGCTCCCTTCCACAAAAGCTTCAGCTTTGTGTTTTGGCTGTTAGTGGACAACTAACTGTGCAACTTTTTAAGTTGTTGACAATGTAGGAGACTATACATGAATTTTCTTCAAACATTCTTGTGATGAACTGTCGCTGATGTTATACACAAAATTAGTTGTGACTTGCATTTAGGTTTTGGCTTCATGATCATCATTGACTTGTTAAGTGACAGTAATTTTCTTTTTGTGAATCCAGGCGGACAAAGGAGAGAGCACGTGACAGTTCCCCCATGATTGCCAATAAGGATTGTACTGCCTGAAGAACGAATAACTGATAATAAAGAATCTTCAGTTGAAAGTTTAGAAGGCAAACATAGTCTTCCATCATCTCCTTTAGCTGTTCGAGGTGCTAGTGAACAAAATAGTGAACCTAAAGATGCTATGAATGATGAAGTTGCCCTGACTGAGATAGGCTCTGACATGATTGACAAGGATGCGTCTTTGAATGCTAAAACAAGTAGTGATTCACTTACAGATGAAACAGGGAACCATGCTTTGAAAAAACAGAAAGTGAGTTCAAATGATGAACAGCATCTGCCTCAAGAAATTGATGAGGATGAAGACTCAAAAGCTGCAAGAAGTAGTGAAAATAGTAAAGCAAAATCAGGAAGTAGCAATTACCGGAAGCTACGGGACAGTGTTGAAGAAGAAGAGGTTCAAGGAGCGCGCTCAAAACACATGGGTAATCTTAAAAGGTCAACTGTGGGCAGCGAGGACAGTGTCCGAAGGAAACTTCGTGATGATAGACAAGAAAATGATAGACACCGCACCTCAGTGAAAGGGAGGGAAGATTTATATCAGCACAAAGGGTTGGATCCTTATTCTGCACATCCTTCTCGAGGGAAATCTGTGAATATAGACCTGCGAAAGGATATGGATAGTATTGAGGGAGCCCGTCATCGCAGAGAAGAAGATTTGCATGGGAGGAGACCTAGAGCTGAAGACACAAGAAAAAGGGAGCATAGGGATGAGACTGATTCTAGACACCGCAGTAAGGTTCGAGAAATTGAAAGAATGAAAAAAGATGAACATTATCAACTGAGAAAACAATTGGATAATGGGAATTGGAAAGGCGGTTATGATAAAGATGTGGGATTGAGGCACAGAGACAGGGAGGATAATGTGAAAAGTCGAAATGAAATAATAGATGACCTTCACAACAAGAGAAGGAAAGACGATGCACAGTTAAGGAGGGAGCATGCTGAAAAGGAAGAAATGTTGCATGCTCAGCGAGAAAGTAGCAGTCGTAGAAAGAGAGAAAGGGATGATGTGTTAGATCACCGGAGGAGGGATGACCAAGTAAGAATGAGAGATGATGATCAACATGGTGTTAGGTACAAAGAAGAGGGATTGTTTCAGAGGGAAAGGGGCGAGAGGCAACGAGAGCGAGAGGAATGGCATAGGCTTAAACAATTGAATGAGGATATTCCATCAAAGAAGGAGAAAGAAGACTTGCGGGTTGGAATGAGGAGTGGGCGAGCTACTGAAGAGAAAACATGGGGCAGTCAATCTAGAGGCAAAGATGACCGCAGAAGTTCTGATAAGGAGTACCATTCAAAGGATGCATTGCGGCAGAGTGAGTTAATCAGCAGGAGGGATCGAGCTGAAAATGAGAGTCTTTCACAGCATAGGGGTGTGAGGAGTATTATGCACATGGGAACCAGCTCAATACTGATGAGAGAAGAGGAGCAAGGCATGAGAGGATGAACACTCGTGATGATCGGGCTGCCAATGTTGAGAACTACAAGGTGCATGAGAGAAAACACAGAGAAAATCCAAGAAGGGTAAGGAAACTGAGAGTGTTGATCGGAATTCTTGGCCCGTTCTAGGAAGAATCAAGATGAAATCAGTGCGCAGACAAGCGACATGGTATGTTACATTTCTGAACTGGCTTTTCTTTTTTCTTCTTCCTGTTTTTCTGAAGGGATGGGATTATTGATTAAATAGCCTTGCAGGTTTAGTTAGGCCATTTACTGCCTGACTTTCATTAACCAACTTCCCCTTGGGATGATTTCGAATCCTGTTGCCTGCCTTTGTGATTGGATGGGATTGAGTGGTTTTTTTATCTCATTTTCAAGGATTATGTGCTGAATGGTTCTGGATATTGTGACAAAGCTGACCTTGAATACATGAAATGAACATTTTTGGACTTGAGATACTTAGTGGAAATTCATTGGCCGTCCATTCTCTAATAATTGATCATGGGAGGAATGCACGTTCAGTTTTTCATTACTACTGGATTTTGCTTAATGAAGTGGAGATTTTCTAAACTTTCTCATGCCCATAGCTAGACGACCATTTGATGCGTCTTGATGTCTACGCTTTCCTGGTTGACTATTTGTTTTCATATATCCTTTTACTCTTATGGTCTCTGTGAGGACCTTGTTTACTTTTGATCAACTACTTCTTTAGCACTTATCTTGAAACTTAAGCGAATATTTTTTCTTTTATTCCATGTTCTCTGGCACAGTATGCATATCATCAATGAGAATTGACTTTTTCATGATTTTTAGTTTTTCTTCTCCCTAGGCAAATCTCTAAATTTTTGGTCATAGAACTGTAACTTCATACCTTTTCTAAGTTTAATTAGCAAATTAGTAACCCTGGGTGTGTTATCCCAAGCGAGACTGCCAATGTTTGTAAAACTTGTATAATCCTTCAAACCATTTTTGTCTAAAGAAGCTTCTGGAAAGCTGATATTTCCAATGTACCATTTAACATGCAATTTCTGTGCATGGTACCATATATTTCCTTGTGATGCACTGCTGATGTCAAAACAATTTTGAATGTCCTTCAATACCTTAATCTTTGAATCGGAAAAGGTGACTAATAGATTTTTTTTTCTTTTTATGATCAAGTTGTTATGCATTGCTGACTCAGGCAAAGCTTAGCATAGCAATAAAAATAGCTGGACTGTAATATCTTGTTGAACATGATAGCACTTCTGAGAATGCTTGGCTAGTATTAATATGGTACACATCTAGATTCTTCTTGATCTTCTAGTAGAAGGGATTGTGTCTAGCTTTCAGCCTCTTTGTATGGTTTCATTGTATTTGTCAAACTGGAAATAGCAATATTTGCTTTGACTAGCTTATAAAATGGTAGCCAGTTAATCCCAATGAATAAGCGCGATATTAGTCAGAGTAATTCTTTGTGACCAAAACATCACCATGTGGATACTTCTTTTGCAAATCTGCTTGTGTCGATTCTATAATGTATCTGTGGCTAGGCAGCCGTCTCCATTGATTGTAGCATGTGGTATATCCCTTGCACAGATCAGAATCATGCTGGCAAGTAAATGGGAAGTACATGTCAAGTTACATCACACAGATGCATGGAAGTATTTGTATCTGTATGTATAGCTTCAAATTTATGATTTTCCTCTTTCTCAGGTGAGATTCAAAGGCAGAATTGAGCAGGGAAAAAGTGAAAATGAGATCCATGTGAATATTCCGCCATCTAAAAAGCATAGGGAAGAGGCTTCATCAGATGATGAAGTGTCGGAATCCAGGAGGGGACGCTCCAAACTAGAACGCTGGACCAGCCATAAGGAAAGGGATTTCAGTATCAGCAGCAAGGCTTCATCTTCCGTGAAGATGAAGCAGCCTGAGGCATACGGTAGTGGCGGGCCTTCCATTGGCAGCAAACTTCATGATGAAGCTTCTAACCCAGTGGAGGATAAGCAACACCCCTCAGGTAATGAGAAAGATGCTGCCAGTTTGGAGACGAATAACACTGATAAGAAGCCCATAGAGGATAGACACTTGGACACTGTGGAAAAACTAAAGAAGCGAGTGAACGTTTCAAACTTCCAATGCCGAGTGAGAAAGAAGCCACAACAGTCAAAAAGGTGGAAAATGAAGCTTTGTTGTCTGCCCAAAGTGAAAGTCGTGCAGATTTTGAAGTTAAAGCAGAGCGTCCAGCTCGTAAAAGGAGGTGGACCGGCAATTAATTGCGAGAAGACATTGATTTTAGGTGGATAAAGCAGTTCACTTCGTGGAGCAAATATCTCATTGGCTATCATATTTTTAAATTTGGCACCCTCGTGGAGATGTCCTTGATATGTGATTTGAGTACCTCTTTGATTCAGAGTTCTGTACCTTTCAGCATAGAGGATACGACCTTGTGATGTGCTGCAGGCAGCCATCTATTTCAGTTCTAAACTTTCTGTTATTGTCATCTGAAGTATATGTATATACTGATAAATGTTGACATCATACCTCAGCAAGCTGGGTAATAGAAAGTTTGATAGTGTTTGTAGTTAGTGTATTACTAGTAGCAATTTGTATTGCATGGTCACCTAATGTTCCTGACCATGCCAAGATCGGATCTGGATTGCCTGATGCCTCGGTGCTTTTGGAGGAGAAGCTCTTCATTTGCTGCTTTCCTCAAATTATAGTAAGGGAATGGGAGATACTGCGCAGCCAGAACATGGAGCCGGGGTCTTCGTGAAACCTGTAGGTAGGAGCTCGTAGGTTATTTGAATGAGATTAGATTTTACCTGTTTTAGATTGCAATGTATTCTAGATGTAGAGCCTTTTTGAGTCACAAAGGCAACAGGCTATATAGCGATTCATACATCTTCATTGTGCTGAGACCTCTAATGGAGTGACAAACATATGTCAAAAGCAATATAGAATGCAATATTTAGACCAGTTCGCTTTTTAGCAGTGTTTACTTGGGGTTTGCCTGCAGATATAATATCAACTCCGACCAGGTGGTTAACACAACATTCGTAGGGTTGAATTGGATTCCTGCAACCAAACCAAGTTCTTAGTTATGATTTGGGAGGATAAAGTATTCGGCCAAGCTGTGAGATTTTGGAAATGTGATGGTTACCGTGGTGGGATATAAAGTATTCGACCATTAGAAATAATAACGAGTTTTTCCCTTCACCATTGAGTACATATTTGAGAAAGGTATTGCAAATTAGCTGTTGGCTACCACCATAGCTTGTAAGATTTGGTGGGGTGGGAGGTCAACGGTTTAAACGTTGTCTTTCACCATTTGCCACTATATGTGGCTTGTTATTTAAGTGTTTTTTTAAACGGCGTACATCCGTCTGGGACGATGATTCAGTCCTTTCCGATCTCTCATTAGTCTTATTCGGGTCCTCTTCCCTTAGTATAGATTAAGTGTAGGTCTATTGTAAACGTGTAAACAAGTCGAGTTGAGTACAATTTTGACTTAATCGAGTCGAGTCTCAAATTAATTTTACGAAGTTCAAACTTGAGATCGAACTCGATGAATTCAAAATGTCGAGCTCGAGACTCAAATTTGAGTTGAGCTTAAAAATTTTTAAAAAATAATTAATTTATTTTAAAAAATAAATAAATATTTTATTTTTTTAAAATAAATAAAATAATTATTTTTCTAACAAATAATAAAATATTAAATATATATATGTAATTTTACTATTAAAATAAAAAAATATATAATCGAGCTCACGAGTCGCTCGCGAGCTAACAAACTTTGAATTTGAGTTCGACTTGATCCTCGAACTCGATATTGATTGAATTCGACTTGAACTCGTATTTGAGCGGCTCGCGAGCGATTTGATTCGTTTGCAATCATAGTCTATCGCGTCAGAAAAAAAGGGAAGGTATTGCAAATTCTACCTACACGGCTTGGCTACAAATAATAATGATGGGATATATTTTTTTTATTTACAATTTGTCTATAACCGAGTGATAAGATTTGACTCATTATCACTATTTGGCGATATAATATTGATATTGACCCTAGTGCAGCGCATCAGAATTATTAGTGGTGTATGTGAAAAATCATATTTTTTGTTTAAAAAAAAATTAATGAATGCTCATGTCATTAAGACCAATCTTAGCAACTACACTAATAAATTGAGTGACTAGTGACTAAATTAATACCGGAAAAACAAATGTGATTTTGGTGCAGAAATAAGCACAGTAATAACTTAGGTGCTTTTTCCTAATTTAGAGTATATGATTTTTAGTCTCATCACTATCTGACTAATATATATATTCCTAACAACTTAACTTACGATGTCGGACATTTATGAAGTAACGATAAGCTTACGTCTTACCTACCTAGTCATGACTGGATTTACGAAGGTTTGTAACGGACTCCATGAGTTTAGGAGATAGATTAATCTAAAATGCGTGCAATTTAGGCCTATGATTTCTACATAGCTGAAATAGGTTCGATTGGCTAGCCCCGTAGTCCAAAAATGTTACATAAACTGACTTGATTCTTGATGATTGAAATACTATTCCGCCCAAAAGACTTCTGTCTGATGAAACTGAAGTCGAAAAAGATCAGAAACATTTGCATCTGAAACTTTCTTGAGCCGTCCCATTGATTTAACTTGTGAGGGAATAAAGGAGCAGCATCAACCCAGCTAATAGAGGTCACGGGAAATTTCTTCATTGGGCAATCCATCAATATCAGATGAAGCCGTAAGAGCAGTTTTTTTACTTCCATCACGTAATTTGCAGCTATACTCACCTCTATGTTTGTTCGTAATTAAGTTTGAGTTCTACTTTATCTTGAAGTTTTGCTCCAACTTTTCAGCAACTGCAGGAGAGTCGCCCCGTGACGTATCTGGGTTATAGAAATGTCACATGCGTATTAGGTGTTTGTGAGAATGACTGCTTGAAAGATGAGTATTCATAGTTGGGTTCTCTGCCTGGGATCGAGTTATTTAGCTTATTTGGTCTTCATTCCAGCTCTTTTTTCTTTTTTTTTGGTTGGGTCAATGATGATGTCAATAAGAGTAGTAATTACCTACTGCTGACTGTAAATTTTTAGTCTGGCAGTTCATTGATCATTTGTATCAATTTGCTAATCAGTCTACTTTACCATATGCACTTCCTTTACGGTTGTCCTTTGGCTTAAATGTTCATTAAGTTCAATTGAGATTGTTCATTGATCATATTGACTAGGAAATCAATGCACGCAATAGAAATTTTGAAGAGTTTTGCAGACCGTGTTTCTGTCCTACGTCTGTATTTTACGCATTTCAATCTACTTCTTCGTCTAATTCATAATATTCTAATATCAAGTAATTGTTGTCTTTATAACCTAGTGGTGATTTTGTTTTCAAAATTGACAGGAAATCTCTTTGGCACATCTAAACTCCTGCAGCTCTTATAACTGGCTTTGGCGAAAGGGAAACTTTATTCATCGTATTATCCTGGACTTTTGGTACTGCTAAGAACATTGGCCGAGTATTTTACAGATTATAATGTCCTTGCGTAGGCCTCCGCTTCCTCGCCTTCTCCTGAACAATGTCTCTTGCATGCGAAATGCTCAGCAAATACTTCGTCATGTAAATGTTTCTGTTCATGATGGTGGTCACTTGTGCTGACAGGCACCAATGGCTCAGGCAAAACTACTTTCTTGCGCATGTTAGCAGGATTTCCAAACCATCAGCAGGTGAGATACTCTGGAATGGTCATGACGTCACAGAATCTGGCGTTTTCCATCAGTACAAGCTTCAGCTTAATTGGCTCTCTCTTAAAGATGCTATCAAAGATAAGTTCACCGTCCTTGACAATGTTCAGTGGTTTGAAGTTCTTGAAGGCAAGCAAGGAAGGTCTCTGCCTGCTTTGGAGCTTATGGGACTTGGACGATTGGCAAAAGAGAAAGCAAGAATGCTTTCTATGGGTCAACGAAAAAGGCTGCAGCTAGCAAGGCTGTTAGCAATTGATCGGCCAATTTGGTTACTTGACGAGCCTTCCGTGGCATTGGACGATGATGGGTGAAATTGCTAGAATATATAATTGCAGAGCACAGAAAGAAGGGAAGTCGCATTGTGGCCACTCATCTGCCAATTAAGATTGACGATGCAATGATCTTAAGATTGCCGCCAAGTTCCCAAGGAGGATGACTTTAGTAGACATGCTTGATCGAGGTGGATTAGATTGAGGATATTGATATTCCTAATCCAAACATGTGAAATGGTTTATTGGAGAAACGTCATGGATCAAACAAAAATCACAAGTAGGACTTCAGATAAAATGAAGATTCTTCATTAATTGTCACTGTAAGTTTAACATTTATGTACAGAGTTTGTGCTTGCTAAAAGGGCATCCGCATCTTTCATTTAAAGAAAACACAGTGAGACAGAGGCATTTATTCTATAACGGTCTTTCTTTTGTTTCTGGTTCTATTCTTTGGTGCATGGCCTCTAAATAACCATCCTTGCATGGACTAATCAGAAATCCATCATGCAACACTTTTGTTGCCTTCATCCAACATTTCGTTGTTCATGTTGCATGATTTTAGTCTTCAATCTATATGCTTTGTGATCATGGCAATAGCATCTTTGAAATCTTGTGCAGAGCCTGTGCTCAAGGAAAACCAAATTAATTCTTGGGAAGTTGAGGATAAGTAGTTTCAGCAATCTGTACTTCATTCTCGCTCTCGCCACAACGCTGGGAAGGTTGGGCTGTTGGGTGATATGTCCAGCATTCCCATTTTGTATCGCATCAGAGCAAAATCTGAATTTGTTAGTGCCTCAATGTTAGATGGGATCTTTAGTTCCTCAATATATTTGCCTCAGTTGCACTAGAAATCAATGTCCGTACTTCCACAATTTTGCACTAAAAGTTACATCGTGTCAAAGATGATGGGATTTACACTTATTTCACTTACTTAACTTAAGATTTAATAGTATGAAAATGCATTCATTTCCTCTGCATTGATATGACATAATACTATCGGAGTGAAACAGGGGGTCTAAAGGAGAACAGAGGTTAGACTATATTAGTAACAAGTAAACCTTTTGTGTGTATTTACAAATATTTGGGGAATAAATACCAATCGTAAGGTCTGAGACGACCCAGAAAGCACTTGATCATATCATGATTAATTTTGTAAGCCTACTTGGGTATTGAGTATTTACTTGTAAAACTGAATTCTTTGGAATCGATATTTGCAACTCCGGAAAAAGAATTCAGTAAAATTTTTCTTACATTGAACCCTTTATATTATATATGTGTGGATATAGGTAAACTTTAGCCGCACAACTTCATTAATTCTAGAAAAGTTAAAAGCTCTGAATGAGATTTTGCGTCCGGTAATACATGGGATGCCTTCTCTATTGATTATCAATTGGAAACTGCTGATAGTGAAACTCAAACCCGAGCTTCTCTTGAACAAGGCGAACGATCTTTACTAGCTGTGGCAACTCTTATTGGCTTTATGGTTAGTCGCTATTCACTCAATAATCTAAAATACAAAACGTCCCAATGTCATAACTGAGGGAGTATTATAATTTTGATTTTGATTCAATGTCCTCAATAATGATAGTTGGAATGTTACAGAAGAAATATGGTCCTTGCAGATTCTCAGCAAGACACATGTTTGTAGTTGGTTTTGAGTAGGCCTGTTCATCGGCGGGTCTAGACCCGGATCCGGAGCGGATCCGTGAAATTATTGTGGGTATGGGTATGGATTTAATTCCATTCCCAGATCCGTTTTGTCAAACAAAAAAACGGGTCGGATACGAAATATAGTATTCCGACCCGTATTAGATCCGGATTCGGATATAAATGAATTAATAATTTAAATATATATATTTATCAATATAATTTGATTAGGGTGATGTATTTTAATAAGTTAATTTGATTTCTTTTCTTATTGGGTTTTTCTTTGCATTAGTTAGAAATTAGTTTACAAATATATTTTTTTCTCATTTTAATTAGAAATTATAAATTTTGATAAATTTGTTCGGGTAGACCAGGATCCGGATCCGGATCCGGGACCCGCCGGATCCGGATCCGGAACATAGAATAAAAGACCCGTCGGATAAACGAGTCGGATCCGAATCCGGCATAGTAATTCGGGTCCGAGCCCGAAATAATGAATTTCGATCGAAACCCGACCCATTGACAGCCCTAGTTTTGAGTGCTTTGGAATCATAAATCTTCTTAGGTAGGACTCGTAATTGTGTATCTCAGGAAAAGTGAGCAGTTCTAGAAATTCTCCAGAAATGATGGACGACTTGTCCAATTTGCTATTTCTTGATTGCCGCCAATGCCAATTGGTAACATCATCAGCACCTTTCATATCTCTTGAAAAAGAGAATGATGGACCGGACCCGCCATTGTTCATTTCTTCATCAAAATGGACATTATTGACCATAACCAACCAAACAACAAAAAGTTGTTGCCCGCGGATAAGGAAACTATATATGACGAGACGTAATTGTAAAATTTATAACTATCAACACTCTCGAGTGTTGACTACATATTTTGATTCCAAATTTCGTACTAGTATTGGATGTTTTGTGATTTTTTTGTGTCAGTTTTCTCAATGTTGCCTTCAAATTTTTTTTTTAAATTAATACATGTTTCACTCATTATAACAGTAGAATAAAATAGATAAGACTTAAAAAAATAAAAGAAATCAATATAGAAGTAAATTTCTTACTGGTTTTAAAAATTAGATTGTGCTAGAAACTAAGAGAGGATCTCAAGGCAAAAAAAAAAAAAAAAGAAAAAGAAAGGGAATCACTAACATGGACGTTAATATAAATTTACTCTTATTCTCGAGGTGGCATTTAGGCTTTTTTTTCCTTAATTTTTTTAACATTAATGGTTCCTCAACTTTGAAAAGGTGATTTAACTATTTTTTTTGAGTAGGCAAAAAAAGGTTTAAGAATTCTTTTGGGAGAAGAATGATTTAAAATACGTGTATCATCAATACGTGTCCTTAGTAAGAATCTCATTTTATTCTTTTTTTTTTTTGAAGTTTTAACAACTACTAACAAAGTAAAAAATAAATAAATATAGCATACTACAAAATAAAATGAAATAATTATTTTTTTTGCTATATTTTGTTTTTGTAGTCTATTGTATTTTATTTCTTACCCGGTTAAGAGTTATTGAAACTTTAAAAAGAAAATGAATTATGAAAATGAGACGGGAAAAATTGAAAAAAAAAAACACACACACACAACACCGTAATGGAAAGATACGTAATGCCTGCGCAGTAAGAACTAGTGTTCCATTCTCAGTACTTATCGGACCTACAGGCCGCATTATGCGCATGTTCTTCCACTATCAGCAAAAAAAAATTAAGGGAACTAGTGGTGTTCTTTTTATTGTTTCAGCCGTCTGGACTCTGAACTAAGTTCAGGCAATAATAATGAAGGAACATTCATGGCTTTGCACTTTCATCACACAGATTTCCCTCTGTTTCTGTGTTTACCTAGCATTTAACATGGGTGACAGAACTGAGAGTAGCAGCAGGCCTGTTGAGACGTACTTTATGAGTGTTGCAGGAGGTTTTAGGCCTGAAAATGAACAGACCCTTCTTCTCAAACTGGTCAGTTTCTCGTAGTTTGCATGGCTTTCTATTGGTAATAAAGAAAATTTTGTGCTTTTTCATCCCTTTTCATTAGATACCGGGTTTTTAAATTAGAGGTTTGGATTATTGGGTTTGAACTGTTGGTCTAATCTGTTTTATTTGGTGACTTTGAAGGTTGTTTCTTGGCTGATTTAATTACTGCTTTGTTGTTAGATTATGGCCGAAAGGCATTCTTGTACAGAGATCATTTTCTATTGTTCATCTGACAGTACTATTACTGATAGGATTTTCTCTGTAGTTTTAATATGAATGTTTGTTTATTAGCTGTTCCAATTTAAAGCCATCCAATTATGCGGTGAGAGTTTTGCTTATATTGTCATCTTGCTTTTGTGCTTGATTTGACTGGAAATTTCGATTCTCTGTAATGTTGATGCAGATGGAGAAGGTGGCAAAAGTGTACAAAGTACAATTTGTAGTGAGCATTAGTGAACTTGGGAAATGATCCTCTCGCCTGAATGTAAGGCATGACTTTTTAATCGTTTAAATGCACCTTTATGCTGGATTGTTCACCCAGTTCGAAGTTACCTAGATAAGCACAATTAGGTAAAATTTGCTTGGTTAGACGTGTACATATTGAAAAAATGACAGGCAATCAATAAACTCAATACAGGAATCGCTAACATTAGAAACTAGCAATGGATATTTTCTCAGTCACCTACCTACCTGTCTCCTGCAGAAAAGATTACTGTTTTTGATATTGCTGTAAATATATGTACTAATGGTGGAACTGATTTCGTCTGCTGTTGTAATAAATTCTACTTCTTCTCAAAGTACGGTTTACTCTTGTGAGGAACGGTTGTTTGTAGTCACCTACACCTGATTTATTTGTGCCAAATAGTTTCATGAATCTGATAATTTGTGCATGGTTCATCATCTCTTGAAGTTTCCTCATATAATTCCGTTCTGTAGAGCAAAATACATTTCATCTTGAACTTGTTCTTTTGAAGTATCCTTGTGGTAGCAAAATTTAGTTTTATAGCAAAAAATTACACCAGTCACATTATGGGTCTGATTGGGATCTCATCAGTTATTTAGGATCTTGTTTTTACTTGGTAGTTTTAGCTATAAGCAACTAAAATGCATTCTTTCCTAACAGGCCACGTGGTATTTTCAGTCTCTAAAACTTCCCTGGTATACCATCCTTTACCATGTCTGACTTTGGCAGTCTTAGTTGGAGGTTCAAATTTGTTTAAAGTCCTTTTTCCCAATTTCTCTTCAGCTGCTGTAACTTGTAGGTACACAACAAAATCATTCAAAGGACAAAGACCTGGTTCCTACCTCAAGCATACAAAAGTTCAATATGGGAAAACCTTAGATATTGTAATTGTGAATACAGAGTTATTTCAGGTATGAATCATGCTTAACACATGAACTTGAATATTCCCTTTCTTGCAAATAATAGTAGTCATTTAATTTTCTGATGTATCATTAAAAGTCAATTGATGTTGAGGGTACATGTTTTTGGTTTGTTTGATTGGGAACAGTTCGTATACTAGCAGGGTCAAGGTAGGGTTGGCAACCCTTGACTTTTCAAATAGTGCTTTCTAGTTCTTTGAATCTACTGTTGTGTTTAAGGGGTATACATCATAGAAATCTGCAGAAGATCCTGTCCGTAATTGGTGGCCCCAGTTTCTGTGCTAGATGCATCTATACTATGAATTAGTTTCCCCATTTCAAGATTTTGCCTCCATCCCTGTTTTCAGTGAAACCATTTAAGGACATTACCTGAAGTGTACAATTTTGAGACATGGTTTTGATGCATGGTTCTGATGATGAATTGAAATGAAGAAGAAATACCATGTGCAGGAATGCTAGATGCATGAGCCTAAATGATACTCGAAACGTGTTATTCTCTTCGGAAAATAGATCATATAAGAACCTGGAAATCTCAAGGAAAAACCAAGTTTCCCAGTAAGATGGACATGGAAATTATCAAAGCTAAGGAGAAAGTGGCTTAAGTAGCATTTACTTTTGTCTTACAATTGCCTGGGGATTTGGATTTGATCTTATTCTTTCTTTACTTGAACATAATCCCACCATTCACTTTATACCTTCTAAACTTGTTTGGTTTTAAGGGGAGTTCAATGTACTAATTAAAAGTTCAGGTCAATATGTATAAATGTTCAAATTCGGAAGCAAAAAGCCTACATTCAAGAGATTACATCACATGGTAGGCATTGAAAATGTTCAGTTTCGGAATAAAGAGATGCCTATATATATTACACATAAGCGGTTCTCTTGCCCTCTCCAAAAGCATGGTTCGCAATATGTTTCAGTATCGGCTGAGTTGTAACCGGAACAGAGGGACCGGTTTTATACCCATCCCGAATCGCGAATATCACTATATCCACGACGACTCGCTCTGACTCGGCCGATATTGGCCGATTCAAATCCGTGATGCATGATATCGGCCGATATATCCAAGTCAACTCGGAATTGACTCAGATTTTTTTAAAATTGTGTCTTTTTTTGGTATTTTCTAATTTTAGTAATTTTTTAAAAATTTTTGGAAACTTTCATGTGCTATATATGTGCATATCACCCAATATTCAACCGATATGCCGCGATGGATGTGGAACAACCAAGACCGCGACACAACCGTGACCCGCGATGGCGAACCATGCCCAAAATTATGCTCCACTGTAACTGCACAATCCCTGTTATTAAGCTCTTCTCATCCGTCTTATAGCCCCGCATTTATGAGTTTTGACAGGTTTCCTAGAACTAGATTTCACTTGAACCTTTTTATACCTAGGTCCCACCCTTTTGGCAGTCCTTGCCTAATGTCATAGATCAGCTTGAGTGATGAAAGAGCTACTATGTTTTGCTCCGTACTTGAACCAGCTAATTGTTAATCTTGTAATGGTGTCCGCAACTGTTAAATGAATAAGAAGAGAAGAAGAAACATACTTCCATTTCCTAGTGGACCATTATGGTCCTTAGCTGCATACTTCACTAACTATTTTCCTGCACTCTCGTTTTCATTACCTCTTAACAAACTTGTATTCTCCAGGGCCCTTCAGCTGGTGCTATTGAGCATCAGTTACTGTGGCTCATGAAGACACTGGAAGAAAGCACCAGTGACTGGTAAGCTATAGCTGGTAAGATATTTATTGGAAATGGACAAAAATTAATTTAATGTGAACAATGATGTGGCTTATCTTCCTGGAAATAAGATTGTCAACTTTGGAACCAATTTCAAGGGTAAATGAAAAGTAGCTTTTTTCTTCTGAAAATTTTTTGCGCAACTATTGTGTAGCTTAGTTGTATGACTATGCAGTAAAAGAATAAAAAACCAATGGTCTAAAGCTTAGAATCTTGCACTACTTCTTAAAGAGGATTACATTTCTTCTTTCAAGGCCTGTTGCTACCTTCCGTGGCAGCTTGCTCCATACTTTTTACATTCAACCCACTGTCAATTATTAACATCTTCTGGTTTGCTTTTTGGTTTTCCTATTGGGGCAAAAGGCGCATTGTTGTTGGTTTCCACCCACTGTTAGCTTGTAATGGAAGTACGGAAGCTAAAGACAATCCTCTGTGTCTTCATGAAATGTTTTTGAATCATCGAGTGGTGAGTGGTAGTTTTGGCAATCAAATTCTGTCCATAGCATTCAAATAGTAAACCTTCAATGCAAACACCTATTCCCAAAATTCCTGACATAACTGAATTCAAAGGCCCATACTTCTCTGATGTTTCATGTATCTTCAAGCTTCCTCCTGAATCTCCTGAATCTTTGCATATGAACTTTGTCCTAGTAGGACGCTTACCTCAGTGGCCATGCTTGTACCGAACATGTTCACAAACAGAGTGCAAAACAGCCTGGTAATGCTGATCAACCGGGCAAAGGACCTTGTCTTACTCCAATTCGTAGGATATTTGATCAAAACAAGTGAGTGCTTCATCCTTGTTCTAATCTTCTAAGGTGATGTTTATGCCTGAAGCATTATTGATAACCATCTTCTACTGTTTTGTATCTTTTCCAGGGAAAAGGTGAATGGTTTGCTTCTACACAGAGTCAGTTCCTAGAACTGGTGAGTGTTAACATGTTATGATTTGTCCTTTGAATAATCTAAATTTTGAACTTCTGTAACCTCCAATTTTTTTTTTTTTATAACAGGTAACTTATTCAATAAACTTGGAGGGGGATGTTGCACACAAGATTGAACTTCAACAAAGTGGTAGAGAAGCCATGTGATGTGCTCAAAGACCTTATAATCATCCCAAAGCCTTGGTGCTTGTTTTGCTCTACCTTTTGTCTTCTGTATAGATTTTCAATTATTTTCATAATTTTAAATACCATGTCTTTGATCTCTTTCTGAGTTTCTGGCTTAACAGTAACAATCTTTGATTTGGTTCCTGAGGTACCATATTAGGTCCTGCAATTTAAGCATACTGAGTGGTACATTTGCTGGAGTTGTTTCTTGTACCCTTTATGAGAGGCTTGTTATTCTTGCGTCTGGTCTTTGTGGATAAGGTCAGGAGATACACATCCTTTCCACTACCAATTGATATGCTAAAAGTCTTCCCTTTCCAAGATATGCAACCATGAGCAAGTCATTCCTTCCAAGATAAAGTTTTGAGCACTCCTATTAACATGACCTTACAGAAAACGGCTGAATTATATGGGTAAAATTTTTGCATGTTGCCCCCTTATATACCAAATAACTTTGAAGAATCTTGATTTACAAAGCATGTGAATGAACGTTCTTTATTCGAAACTGTAGAGAGATAGAATTTTCACATAGTCGACCTTTTGTTTTCTAGTCAAGTCCTACAAATTTATTCACTAGTAAGTTGTAAAATTCTAAAGTTGTCTTGACATTATCATTCCGATGGGATTAGAAACTGGGCTGTACAGTCTTCCAGTCGCTTTATTTTTCTATACATACGTGTTAATCGCCTTGCTTCTAAGTTACTCTTGAGCGTATGTTGGTTTTGGCCGACTTTAATTCTTATGTATGTGAACTGTTCTACTAGGTGCGGTTTTGGTGATATAGAATAGAGCTGGTTGCCTTCCAAAGGGCCTTGGTGCAATTCTTTCTTGATCTTTTTGTGCCATGATCATAAATCTCCGACAAGTGGAATTAGTCTTTCTAGGTATTCACTTGTTGGATTGTAGAAATTGATCCTAGGGTCTCCCAATTGTCAGGTTCCATAAATTGTAGAGAAATGATCCTAAGGTCTATTGTTGGAGAAATTGATCCTAGACTATTTTGTTAAATTTTGTGTTCAAGAAATTGATCATTGTCTCCTGTTGAATTTTGGAGTCCTCGAACATCGAATATACTGGGGTTCTCAACTTCATAAAATTTGCCTAATCAGCAAATCGGCCAAAGATATCAAGGGAGGGATCCTGTAGAGATTATACTCGAAGTTATATTGTGTTTGGTGTTGAACAGTTGTCTAAGTTATTGGTTGTGCTCGCCTCGATTAAGCCATCTGCCAAGTGACACCCAATCCAATGTATGAAGTTGGAAGGGAAGGCGGCTATGAAAGGGAGGCGAAGCAGAGTTGACAACTACCGAGATTGATCCTCTGCACACCGAGTCATGGCACTCACATTGATCCTCAGCGCACCCACGAAGAGCCCCCCCCCCTCTCTTTTATGTTCCAAACTGCTATTCGCTACTTACTATTAAACGATGCAATATGTTTTACCTTTTTAAGTAGTGGTGTGTATTAGTTACTTGTTTTGAAGTTTTGCTTCTTATTGAGAAACTATGTATAGTTTTGAGATGCAGGAAAAACCTGTAGGTCCTTGCACCATATATCTAGTCTTACAATTCTGAGGTATCACTGTTAACAATTCTAGATCATCAACACTTGCATAATGAGGCTGGCTTAGGTAATACACCTAAATAACTGTAGTTGTATGGCTGGAAACCTTGAGGTACCCAGTCCCTTTGCTATTTCGAGACACACTGCTGGCACAGTGGTCTTTCTTTCTGCAACATTCAACCTTCCTCCATCTTAAATCTGATCATTGAGTATAGTGAGTAGGGTCCATCCTAATAGGATTAGATTTTGAAGAATCTAATGTTAACAAATGATGAAAGAAGTAATATGAACTTTTACATCTGGATTGAAGTCAGTTGATCTCAGCATATGTAGATGACAGCTTTGACCAAATTAAGAATATATTTTACTCATTGTTAATTTGCACCTCACTTGTAATTTGGAATTCTAGCAGAAGAGAAGTTTGTTTGACAAGAAAAAATCGGCTGAAGCTGATAACTTAAGCATAAAGTAAAGCAGGTTGACTCACTTAAAACTTTGATTTTGAAAAGAAGTAGTGATAGTATGCATGCCCTTTCATCGTGATAGAACAGCAGTTCAAGTTTGACTGTTACATAGGCTATCAAGTGATGCCCCATATTGGTTGATTACATGAGCCATACAAATGAGAGTGGATAATATATAAGATTAGAAATTCATATAGAATCATCACTTCTACTTACCATGTGATTAAGCAATAGATTTGTTCATGTGGTATAGTATTGTGAAGAATTTGGTTTAGTGATCTCCTTCCTCTCTCTACTCCTCCATACCTCACCAACCAATGCCAAGCCACCAAAAATAAGTAAATAAATTGATTGAAATAGGAAACAGAAAGTGTAACAAATCCAGAAAATTGTAACTTAAGTAAGAATATTTGACTGTGAACCGATATGTGAAAAGATTATCCTTCATTGTACTCTTGCTTTGGGAGGAATGCAGGCGTTCATGGATCATACATGCACAATATCTCATGGAATCAATTCAACCTATGAAGATAATTTGTTTTTTCATTCTTAGCTTTGCGATATAGGCCTTTAGTATGTCCATTTGATACATTGGTGCTTCATCTCATAATATAATAGATATCTTTTCCTTGCATAACTTGTATTAGTGGTGTATTGCTTGACCTTTCTTACTAGATGACATTGCTGCATATTGTCTTCGATGATACTTACTTTTCAACACTATAATTTCTATTCTGTTGCCATAAAATTTGAAGTGCTTTTAGAGCAACCTGATATTTGAAAACTTTGGGGAATAGTTCTATTATGGACTCAATCCAATACTGCTCTTGATAAGGGAAGCAAATGAAACCACCGTATTTGCACCTTAGGATGTCCTTGTCTCTCCTTCAGAAGGGGGAAGTTGGTCAAATTGTACAGTTAATGTAGTTTACGGGGAATATCAACTGTTTTTTGATTTACCTGAAGTATATTCTAAGTGCACCTTGTATATTTGCTATCACAACCTTTTGGCCTTTTGGTAATTGAGGGGTCATTTGGTTTATGAGATGATGCAGGATTGCATTATTAATCGTGTCATCCTGTTTTGCTGTGTTTCTGGTTGGGATCCATTATCCCATTCTCAAATTTTGTCCTATAGACTAGCAATACATCCTTGTTATTGATGTGCAAACCAAACTTATTCTCTTCCGTTTTGATTTCCCTGTATATATGTGTGTTATATCCACTCCAATTGTATTATCTGCTCTTTTGTATTTTAACGTGATTGTGATTGATATGGTTTTGTGTTGTAAGTATTTGATGGTAATATCTTGGGGAAGATCAAATAGAGGCACACATAAAAAGAGATGCACATGGACAACCACACACACATGCAGGTTTTTTTTGGGGGGTTTTTGAGGGGGGGGGGGGGGGGGGGAGAGGTGAAGGACCGCTTAGGAGAATGAAATGGTTTTGGGAGCTCAAGCATCTTCCTCGTGTCAATCTCCATACCTTTGTGACAGATGACTCCAAAGTCGTCTTATGATTTTTTTGGCAAGCAAGACTGACTTAGTTTGACCTTCTGTGGGGGAGAAAAGGGGCAAAGAATAAATGAAGGTGAAAAAACAGAGGATCATGTTAATAAACATCAAACTTAAGAAGATCTTCAACAAAGAAAATGGCTTGTCACCCTATAGATATAATTGAATGCAACATCCAGGAAAAAACAGACTTGGTTTGTGTAGCTGTACTTAGTAGCTGATTTATCGTTCGTCTTTTGGATGTTTATTTTTAGTTTGTGTCCTTTTTGCCAAATAGTCGATAAAGAGCTGAATTGGAATGCAAAGGGGATTGTGAATAATAGTTAAGTGCTTGGGTAATATCTAGTTAGGAGGGAAAGGAATACTGAGGTCTTTTAAGTTGCTCCTCCCAAATAGTTAATGTTACTGAGTTCTAGGGAAGCGGCCTTCTTTATGTTGGTATCTGCTGTTTGTTCTTAAGCTTTATGTTGGACTGGGTAACCTAGTTAGAAGTATATATTGGCTTCGAGTGAATAAAGATTCAGTTCATGATCAAATTTGACAAGCAACGTTTTGATGTACGATGTGTTTTCTCCCAGTAATTATTAGTTTGGAATTCGATAGACAGAACGAAGATATCTGAACTCGCTGCAATCATGCTTGTGCTATGCTGTCATCTTTTTGACAAAGATGAATCATTTTGAGATCAACATCTCCCATCTTTATCCCACGAACCTTGCCTTCGTTGCATTGCATCATGTGCTGACAAAGTTTGTGAAGTGCTGAAGTCCCATCCATCATCTTTTGCAGTGGGACAGCAGAGCATTTTTTACAATTATGTTCATGGGATAAGGTAAAAATTGAAATCGGGCATTTTGTTACTGTTATTTAGCAAAGGGAAGCGTGGACTTCTGGTGTAAAAAAACAAAAAAACAAAAAAAAAAAAGGCAGACGGGTTGCTTTAGCTGATATCAATGAGAAAAGCCAATTTTCTGCTGAAACTACAGATTCAAGATGTGCAGTTTACATATTGTACTCTCAAAACACTACTACTGTACTATAATAAGAAGAAAAAGTTTGCCCTGTGGTGTGGTGCTCTTCCCATTCACGACACGGATAGACTAATGGTAGAATGCTGCTGCTCCCATCAACTTCAGTCAATGAATTTCCGGAAACGCAACTTCCAACTTGGAAGTCACGGATTACGATGGTTTCTTTAAGATTTAATAACTAAAAAATTGTTAGGTGGGAAATTCATATACTACATTTTATTACAGCTAAAGAT